TTCTTTGTCTGTAATTAACATAGCTAATTCTGCTGTTGTAATTAGATTTAGGGTAATATATATTTCTCCATCTCTTTACTCTTAACCTATAGTGTCATTATATTTTAAGTAGGCATCTTATGAACAACATGTATGTTGATTTTATTTTTCATTTTTTAAAGCACACAGACAACCTCTTTATTTTAGTTGGGACATCTAGTACGTTTAAAGGGAGTACTGATACATTTTGTTAAAGCCAACCACATTTGTAAATGTCTTCTATTCATTGAATTATTATTTGTTCATTTTTCTTCCTTTTTCTACCAACTCTGGTTTTAATTGAGCATTTCATATAATTTAATTTTCTGTCCTCTCTTACATATCAATTGTATTTATTTAGTGGAAATTATAACTGGTTGTGATAGTTAATTTTATGTGTCAACTTGGTTGCACCACAATGACAAAAATGGGGTCAAACATTATTCTGGATGTTTCTGTGAGGGTGTTCTTGGATGAGGTTAACATTTAGATTGGTGGACTTTGAGTAAGACAGATGGCCCTCCGTAATGGGGGTGGGCATCATCCAATCAACTGGAGCCCTAAATAGAACAAAAGACTGACCAAGCAAGAAGGAATTCTGCTGGCAAACTGCCTTTGCATTCTAACCACAGCAGTGGCTCCCTGCTGCGTCTCCAGCCTGCTGACATACCCTGTAGATTTTGGACTTCCCAGCTCCATAACTGCATGAGCCAGTTCTTTAAAATAAATCTCTCTATATTCACATCTCATCGGTTCGGTTTCTCCAGAAAATCCTGACTAATACAGATTTTAGTACCTGGAGTGGTTCTAAAGGAACTCAATCTTTTTTTTTTAGATTTCAAAGTATTTATTTATTTATTTACTTATTTATTTATTATTTCAATAGATTTTGGGGGAACAGATGGTATTCGTTTACATGAATAAGTTCTTTAGTAGTGATTTCTGAGATTTTGGTGCACCCATCACCTGAGCCGTGTACCCTGTACCCAATGTGTAGTCTTTTATCCCTCACTCCCCTCCTGCCCTTTCCCCTGTGTTCCCAAAGTCCATTGTATCATTTTTATGCCTTTGTGTCCTCATAGCTTAGCTCCCACTTATGAGTGAGAACGTACAATATTTGGTTTTCCATTCCTGAGTTACTTCACTTATAATAATGGACTCCAATTTTATCTAAGTTACAGCAGCACAATGCACAATTGCAAAAATATGGAACCAGCCCAAATGATGAGTCTGAGTGCTGAGTTTACGGCCCTTCAATCAACAAGTAGATAAAGAAAATGTGGTATATGTATGCCATGAAATACTGCTCAATAACAAAAAGGGATGAAATAATGGCATTTGCAGGAACTCAATCTTTTTTTTTATATATACTTTATGTTCTAGGGTACATGTGCACAACGTGCAGGTTTGTTACGTATGTATACATGTGCCATATTGGTGTGCTGCACCCATTAACTCGTCATTTCCATTAGGTATATCTCCTAATGCTATCCCTCCCCACTCCCCACACCCCACAACAGGCCCCGGTGTGTGATGTTCCCCTTCCTGTGTGCAAGTGTTCTCATTGTTCGATTCCCACCTATGAGTGAGAACATGTGGTGTTTGGTTTTCTGTCCTTGTGATAGTTTGCTGAGAATGATGGTTTCCAGCTGCATCCATGTCCCTACAAAGGACATGAACTCATCCTTTTTTATGGCTGCATAGTATTCCATGGCGTATATGTGCCAAATTTTCTTAATCTAATCTGTCATTGATGGACATTTGGGTTGGTTCCAAGTCTTTGCTACTGTGAATAGTGCTGCAATAAACATACGTGTGCATGTGTCTTTATAGCAGCATGATCCTTTGGGTATATACCCAGTAATGGGATGGCTGGGTCAAATGGTATTTCTAAGGAACTCAATCTTAAGGGTGAGTTTTCTGAATTGGTTCTGGAATTTCTGGAATTGGCTACCTATTTTGATTATATTTAAAGACACTAATAACTGTATTTCTAGTAATAAAGAGAATACTGATAGTCCATGGCATAATGTTGCAGCAGAGATACACAAAATATTACCATTGGATATTCTCAAATGCTTGTAAGAGGCAAGGATCTGGGTGACTATGTATACAGTATCTTCAAACATTTTTGTCTAACTAACAAGCGTAATGACATTGACTGGTTGTTTCTAATTAAGCTGGATAAAGTGGGGAAAGAAAAGGATGAGCTCAGGGATTCAAATTCCCAGCTCAAGCACTATATAAATGACCTGAAAGCTTAGATATCTACTCTGAAGGAGTCCCTTGTCTCCTGTAGCTCCAAGACCAGGATTGGCGAAAACGAAACCCTGTGAGTGACTTACAACAAAAATTGAATTTCCAGCCTCCACTTTTAAAGTGCTTTCTGTTAAAGAGAGGGCATTGATAGGGAAAGAACGGGATCCCGAAAGTTGGAATAGAGATGTATGGGAAGACCCTGATAAAGGTGGAAACATTGAGACAGTAATTTCTGCTGAGTTTTCTTTTCCAGTAGAAGCAGACTCTGCACCCCCATCTGAGGGGATAAACTTTGTATTGCCTGAGGATACTGTAATGGCCTCCCCTGAGGCAGTTGCCATGCAAGACAATATTGCTTCTCCTCAAGACTCACCCCTACCACGCTTCTTTGGTTCTAGACCAGGTCCCATAAGACCCTTAAAAGTAAGGTACAAAATGTAACCCACGAGGAGGCACACCACATTCCAAAAGAACTACTTGAATTTTCTAATATATGTAGATAGAAATGCAGGGAATATGTGTGGGAATTGATATTAGAGGTGTGGGGTAATAGTGAAAGGGACAAAAAGTTGGATCAGGCTGAATTTATTGATATAGGCTTACTAAGCAGAGATTCTGTGTTTAAGATTGCAATTCAGGAAGCTAGAAACGGCTCCAACAGTTTATTTAGTTACTTGGTTGAAACATAGACCAAAAGTAGCATAGACCAAAAGATCTTGAACTGCAATATCTGCCTTGATTTACAGTAGAAATGAACTCAAAGGCTTAGGGACACTAGAAGGAATGTCTAAGGAATTGAATTAGAAGGAATTTGTTATTTAAGACCTTCTTACCCACCATGGGCAGGTCCAAAGGGCACACCTTGTACCTTGACCGTGAAGAATACATTTGTGAGGGGAGCCTCAGCATGCTAGAAGAGCTCTGGCATTGCTCTTCTCTGTAGGCCAGACCGTACAGTTGGAACCGCAGCTGCTGAATTGGGAAACATAAATGCAATGGAAGTAATGAGATCCCAAGGGTAGCAGAGACCAAGTGGAGGCACTCAACCAACAAAGGCAAGGTAGGTGCAGTTACTCTCACAGACAGCAGAGCCAAGGCAGCACTCAGAATAGTCAGGCTCCTGTGGATCTATGGTGTTGGCTACTTGATCATGACATTCCTAGAAGTGAAACTGATAGGAAACCTACTAAATTGCTATTGACTTATATAAGCAGGAAAGTTCAAGGACAAGTGAACAAAAATCTAATTTGAATCATCAAAACAGAGGGTCTTGGCATCTCAATCAATTCTCAGGCCAGTTTATAGACCTAGAACCCCTTGAATGAAGGGGGAGGCTGGGCCTCCTTGAAAAAGGACCCCAGTACACTGTTGAAAATATTTCTCCCAGTCTTCTCCAAAGGGATCTAGAGGCTTTCACCAGGGCAGTTGTGGATTGAGGGAAAGGAAGTAATCAGACCTTTCAGGAACTACAGGGTACTGGCTCTGAACTGACATTGATCAGTTCAGAAGCAATATTGCATTCCCAGAGAGATGGCAGAAATTAGTGCCACCATCAAGGATTTGAAAGATGCAGGAGTGCTAATTCTCACCACATCCCCATTGAACTCTGCTATTTGGCCTGTGCAGAAGACAAATGGATCTTGGAGAATAACAGTGAATTATTATAAGCTTAATGGAGTGGTGACTCCAATTGCAGCTGCTGTGCCAGATGTGGTTTCATTACCTGAGCAAATGAACAGACCTCCTGGTCCTGGGCTGCAGCTATCAGTCTGTCCCTGTCCCACATCAGTCTGGCTGCTCCTCTTGATGAGTCTGAGTGCTGAGTTTACAGACCAGCCCTATGGGCATGGCAAAGAGGATGGCAACCTGGCAGCTGTGGGGTTGGAGGGTTAAACGAGAGACCCAAGATAGGGAGCTGGAGCTCCAGGAAAAAACAGAATGTCAGGGAGGCCTCCAGCCCCACAGATGAGAGAAGCAGCCTCCAAGAAGTGGCCTGGGGCAAAGAGAAGTGTGGGCTTTCCCCCCGATAAAGAGTAGGGGGAGTCCAGGAGACAGGGCTGGAGGCAGCCAACAGACCAGGATGGAATCCCCTGCGATGAGCAAGGTGCCAGGAAAGATGTGGAGGGGAGGAAAGCAGCAGTCAATAGGGTGCTCAAGAGTTAGGAGGGGCAGCGTTGGGCACACCAAGCAGGGCACAGTGTTAAGGAAAAAGAGCTCTGAGGAGCAGAAAAGAGAGCTGCAATCAGGGCTCAGTCATGGAAACCGAAGTGACAAAAGGATGCTGGGAGGCCTGTGGAAGAAGGAGGCTAGCAGAAAGGGAGGGCAAGCAAGGGAAAGGCTAGGGAGCAAAACAAGGAAGCACTCTGTCTTGTGTTTAAGACGAAAGAAACCCTGTTCCTATTTATAAGTTGAACGGAAGGGACAAACCAAACCAAGAGGAAGAGGCTAAGGACCCTGGGGAGGTTGGGGACTAATGGAGAGGTGGGACACAGGAATGCCCAGCCTGCCCAGGCAGAGGAGGAAGGTCCCAATGCCACTGGGAAGTGGAAACCCTGCGGCAGCTGGGACAACATCTAGGGTAATTGGGACAAGGGGCTCTGCGGACCCAAAACACCATCTTGATATCACAAAAGCACAAAATGTATAAGGAAGGTGAGGGTGAAGGACAAAGGGATTTCAGAAACAAAGATAATATCACTAAATCAACATCCACAGACATAACAGTATTTCCATGCAGAATATTTATTGTAAATGTTTCCATTATAGACACGTGTTTAACAACATATCCAGTGTACATTTTAACCGGTGGCAACATCACCACAGGTAGCTTTGATTACATAATCAACACTTTAACTTTTCCTACACATGTATGTCAAATGTGAATGATGGAATATACAAGTTAACTGTCCTCCTTTAAACTACCTGAAAAACTACTCCCTCTTATTTCATTTTGCATTTTCTAGGCAGTATTTTTCCATGATCTTTAAAAACAGACGCAGGAGCTTTGGAAGAACAGAAATGCAATTACTTACATACGATATGATGAGAAGTGTTTCATGATATACAAGTTGACATAGTACAAGTTATTAACATAGTACAAGTTTTTACTGTGTAGAAAAAATAAACTTACAGTGAATAAATAAACTAACAGCTTTATATATCAAGTTATATATGGAGTATAAAAAGTAGTTATATATATATACATATACATATATATAAGTGTGTGTGTTCTACAGTATAAATATGCTATATACTTAAATATTTCGCGTGACAGAACATTATTTCATCTGTTTTCAGTTTTGTACATTAAAATACGTCTGGCAGTTGGGGTCTCCCCTGATCTCTGGAGACCCTGGGATCCTCTTCCCATTCCAAGGGTAGACGCACCAGCAGAGCCTCTCCTCTCCAGCCAGGGATGTCTCACACTGCAAAGACAAGACCAAGGTCAAGAGCAGCAGATGACAAGGTGACAGGGGAATGTAGAGTCATAGCTGGCCCTTTTTTCAGTGCAGCCAAGTACTGCAGAGCCAAGCCAATAGTCCCGGCTGTGAAACCAGCTGCCAATGATGCCGGTAAATCTCACGCCCTCCTGGTTCTCATCATAAAATAGAGACAGTGACTGAGTGGCACATGCAATAATGACTTCTCACGTGTGTTAAACAGCACAGCGTGTGCACAGCTGTCTGCTTCATAGCCCAATGTCAGGGGAGCCCAACCCAGAGGGAACATGTCTCATGTGTACCCCACTGTGCATTGCCTGTGAAGCAGGGCCTAGTCCTCAATTTCTCTCAATAAAATCTACAGAACCTGTACTTCACTGAGGCTTAAAGCACTCCTCAACATGAAATCTTGGTCTGTTTGATCTCATTTATTATCTGGCAGGCCACAAAAATGTTGTTGTGTTTTATTAGACAGTTCAGAGAGAAAGTGTAAAAGCTGTACAAATAGATACTTGCTTTTCTATGTTAAGTATGTTCCCTTACTCTCTTGTATAAGTGAGGAACCTGAGATCCAAGCATTATGGGGCCTAGGAAAGTCTTCCATAGCTATTGGCTTGCTGAGTGATGGAGCTCAGGCTTAGCCCCAGGGCCCCTGGTCCAGTGCAGGTTTTCCTCCTCTGGTGGTGACACATTGACCTGTTCAATAGGCTATCTTCGCCTAGATATTCCAGGTTCCCAGAGGGGTGGATCTGGCTCAAGACAACCAGTTCTGGTGTCTACTTTGGAGGGGATATTCTTTGCCATGAATGACCATGGCTTGGCAGGAATGTAGGGCAGGAGTCCCTTTCACCCTGACGACACACACTGGCAAGGCCACCTACCTGTCTGCTGTGATAAAATCCATTCTTGTTGCAGTTTGGCAGGTAAAATTTGGAAATGTCCTCTCCTGATGTCTCCTGTGCCTTGGTTAAACTCTCTACGACTCTGTAGAGTTCTATTCGGCAGGGCTCCTAAGAGAATAACTTTACATTAGGATATCTAACAAGACACGGTGAATTATCAGCTTAGACAATGACAGATGGAAGAGGTTTTGTAGAAGCAGGGGTGGCCCTATGATCTGGCCATGGGGACCTGGGACTAGGTGTCATGTGATGTGCTCCCACTGGGCCTCTTTTTCCCACCTGTGGTTAGTCTGTCTTGAGTTGTTCAGATAAAGAACAAGAACACCATTCTCTCCCTCACCAAACACTCTCCCAACACCTGCACAGAAACATCCCCAGGCAAGAACCTCACCAACACCACACAACTCTTCCCAACTCCTCCTGCCACCTACTGAATACTTTGGGCACCCGCCATCTGGTTAGAAGAAGAGTGGGCATAGCTCTTAATTAAGAATTTAGCAGAAGAGATTTCTAGATTTTGAATAACTTTCCTCTGTAATCTACAATGTTATTTTACATAAACTAAATCAAGTGAGGATTAAGGCATTCATTTGGATAATTTAACAATTAACTTTCCTCCATTTATCGTTATTCTCAGATTAAATTCCAAAGTGTTGAGAAAATGGTTTAATCCTCCCTTTTTCTGGGAGGGCATGTTTGTGGAAGTAATTTTTTTCCTCAAATCAAGTCACTCCGACTTTGATTCTCTGTCGCCCTCAAGTGGTAGAATTCAAAACAGACATTAATTAAGATAATGGGGAGTTGATGTTTGGGAAGATGAAAATTCTGAAGGTAGATATTGGTGGTGGTTGCAGAATAACGTGCATTACTTATTGTTACTTAATGCCACAGAAATCTATGCTTTAAAATAGTTAATGATGTATATTACTTAATGCCACAGAAACCTATGCTTCAAAATAGTTAAAACAGTAAATTTTATGTCTTTATTTTGACAATTTTTTTAAAGGGAAGCAAATGATACAATGGAGGTGAAAGCAGTCAGGGCCTTGTACTAAGTTTTGGAACAATGTAACTCAAAGCTCTGACACCCTTATTTAGAGAGGAGCTCAGAGACATGAAGTAACCTATTATCAGGAACTACATTTTCTTTGCATCCAGTAGGCATCTCTCCTGAAAGTCCTTGTGTTCACAGCTTGAGAAAGTTTAGCTGAGAAATGGCCACTAGGTTTGGGGGGAAAGCATTTCTTTCCAGGACATCAGGACCAGGAAGGAGTGGACCAGGTCTGCTTGTCACAGCCAACTCAAGCTACAGCCTCTGACAGGAGAGTTCCCACCACCCACCTGCTGGGCCTCACCTTCCATTTTTTGACGTTGGTGACATGGACAGCCTTCGAGCTATCATAGGTACCGATGGCATCCCAAAGAGTGGAATGATCCTCTTCAGAAGGGGCCATCAGATGGAAATTATCCAGGAGCTCCTCCTCAGTTATCTCTGTGCTCTCTGGGCTTTCAGGGCTCCCTGCCAGGAAACATTGCAGACCCCATGAGCCCTCCCAAAGCATCCGCACCTCCGGGCCCCCACGAGATCACTTCCTTCCCTCAAAACCAGTCTGGGCCATGAGGATGGCCACATTCCTTAACCCAATTTTCACTGACTCTCACTGTAAAGGACCTTGTAATGGTTTCCAGGAAGAGAAATGACAACAGCAATGCCAGCTCTGTTCCTGACAGTTCTAAGTTTTGGGGACTGGCAAGGATGCCCCACGTTTCCGCTTTTAAAGCAGCAGGGGAGCAGAGCAACAAACGCATTTGCTGAGGCTGAGAACAACCCCAAAGAAGCCAGGATTAAAGTTCAATTCCTAACCGCATTAGTGGGGCGCGTTGTAACCTCAGCTTCCCCATCCTTAAAAAGGGGATTTTACTAATATCCCTGAATGAACGGTACAGTTCATCTAGAAGTGGAGTCTAGAATGCAGCTCTCCTGACCCAAAGTACTACCCTCTTCTATTTTGGGGCCCCTGCCTTCCCACATCCTAAGGGACTTCTCTGCAACACCCCCAACCCACCCTCGTGCCAAGAGGATCTTGCAGATAGAGTCCAAAGGTGCATGAACAGAATCAGAAAACTGGCTGTAAGGGACCCCCTGTGGAAATTAATCTCCTTGAGGATCAGTGAGAGGACTCCCTTTCATTTCCTCTAAAGGGCAGAGAATCCGCAAGAAAACCCTGTTGCCTCCTTGGAAGGGTCACTGACTCTCACACACTCACTCTAACACCCTATCAGGGTATGGAAGTCCTGATTCCTCCGAGAATGGCACAGGACGTGCAAGCAGCCCAGATGAGGAGATAGGGGCTGGAGTAGAGAAAGAGGCATTTCCTCCACTTCCCGCTACAAACAAATGCCTGCTTAAATCCAGGAAAGAACCTGATTGTCATGTTCTTAGGGGGCAACATACACATCAAACATTGTTTTTCTATGGCAATGAATGGAAGTGAAGCTTTTAGCCTCAACTCTCACATTATGTTCTGTAAACATCTGGGTAGCACATACTGTATCCAGGACGTATATTACAAAGGACATTCCAAACACCTCCTGGGGAGGCCAGCAGGAGGGATTCCCTTCTTAGGCCTTCCCGGATGCTCCAGCCACTGGGGCTGCCCACGTGCTGGCAACGAGACTGGTGGGGGACCCAGGGTGGCAACCCGACTGAGGAAGGCAGCCCCACCGCCTCCCTCTACTCTTGCTGTCTGGGTATCTAAAGATCACTGGGCTACGACGAGGGCCAAGTGCGAGCTTCCTCCGTGAGTCTCCACTAAGCTATGTGTGCCCTGGAACATCTTCCTTCTTTTCCCAGGGCACGTCCTGCCAAGACCATGCAATGATCGGTCTCCACTCCAAGCTCCTTCCCCAACTACGTGCTCTGGTTTCAAGCGCTAATTGTGGACAAGCCCCTGCCCGGCTCCAGCCCCACCCAGTAGTTAGGGGAGTGGGGACGGGAGGTGCCGGTGGGCCAGGAGGTGCCGGGGCAGGGGCGGGACTGTGGTACCTGCAGCCTCGGCATTGGAAGCGGAGGCGTCAGAGTCCTGCACGCAGGCGCCTTGGCCGCGGGTAAGGGCGTGCAGGGGTTGCTGCTCCCCCGGCAGCGCGCGGCAACTGAGTCCCCGGGCGCAGCGTGCAGTGGCCACGCCGCACGCGGCGCCCAGAGGCAGGGCGCACATCGGGCAGCAGCCGCAGCCCGCGGACCGGGTGACTTCCGAGCACGAGGCGGGCACCGGCGGGCAGAGAGCGAGCTTCTCAGCGGAGCAGGGCGCGCACTGCCACGGAGCGCTGGCTGTCACGCCGACCTGGACAGTCAGCAGGAGCAGTACCAGCCAGACGCGAGCAACGGGGACCTCTGACATCTCCAGGCGCGGGCAGCAGACAGGAGCCGAGGCTCTCTGGGCTGGTGGCGGCGGGCGGTGGCCCATACTCTGGACAAGCGACAGTGGAGCGGTGGCCAGTGCTCTCTGGGAGGGTGGCGGCGGCGCGGCGGCAGATGCTTGCTGGATGGGATGGCGGTGGCCGATGCTCGCTGGACACAGCGCGCGCCTTATAAAGGGCACAGGCCGCGCCACTAGCACCAGGAGGTTAATGATTGGCAGCGCGGCACGCTAGGAGCTGAGTGTTCAAAATAAGTTTGTTTTGCTAGTGCGCCCAAGGCCCTACGCAAACCGCAGGTGGGAGGAGGGTAAACGGTTTTGATTTCATACTGTTTGTCCTGTTGTTAGGGGGTTCAGGCCCTGAGTTAAAGTCCAGTTCTAACAAGTGCTCAGCTGGGAGGGGGATGGCGTTTGTTTTTGTTAAATCGACAGCCCAGGCCCAGCTGGTCAGGCTCTTTAATTGACCCAGAAAAAGCCCTAGAGATCTCCTGCAAAGCGTCTCCTGCAAAAATGAAAAACTCCTGGGTAACACCAGCCCACCCAGCAGTTCTCAAATGCAGAAACCAAGGTCCCGCGTGAGGAAAGGCGAGATGGGGTTAGAATCCGGGTCTCTGCAAGCCCTAGCAGGTTAGCTGTGGAAAAGCCCAGAATTGCTTCTTTCTGCAGGAAAAAGTCTCCAACCTGCAAAGAAAACAAAAACAAAACAAAACAAAAAAACACAGTTCATCCTAGGGCTCTGCCAAGCTCCCCAATCTCACTCTACCTCCAAGAGCCTTTCTCCTCTTTGGAGGGGCAGTTAAGAAGGTCTAACAAGGCCTTGTCAGCAGTGGAGCCAGGATCCCAGGGCACCTGTGACTTTCAGGCACAGGCCAGATATTTATCAGTAGCAAATGCAATGGTTTTCTCTTTAGTTAAAATTCTCATGTATTGGATATTCTCTTTCACAAGAAAGAAGTCACAAGAAGAAAATCCTTCAGAGAAAGTTAGAATCACGCTTATCTCCAGGAGTTGCAGGCTCTCCCCATGACTCCCTCCATGGCCTTCCAGGGGAGAGCTGTGATCAGGGAGCATGCCACGCTCTAGGCCTGCCCCTTGGCCTCTCCTGTGATCCCCAAACCCCACATTTTCCCACCCACCTGGCACCATCTTTGCCTCCCATTCCAGGCACAGGCTCTGGGCTACTCTACCTCCAGGCCTGGGCCTCCTGTTGTCCCTTCAGATCCTTTAGGAGTGGTGTTGCCAAACTGGGAAATTGGAGGTGGCTTGTCCAGCCCCTTGCTTTATAGAGGAGAACACTGAGGCCAGAGAAGGAAGGATATTGCCAGCTCAAAGTCACAGAGGCTATAATGGTGCATCCTGAAGAAGAATTCACTTTTCTGATGCCCACACAGTCCTGCTTACCGTAAGCAAGCCCTAAGTAAATGCCTTTCTCTGTAATCTGGCTAAAACACTCTAAAATAGTAGAGCATTGCTGAATCACCTCAAGCGACAGTCATTCTTACTTTCAAGGAAATGATCCCTGCTGTGCCCTTCAGGGCAGGTGTAAGGGCAGGTGAAAGTAATAACTGTCCTGAAATTCTGAAGCTGGAGCTAGAGCGGTCTGCTCGAACAATGCCACCCTCAGCTGTTTATCCTACAGATGATGAGACAGACGTGAGAGATCATTTTAAACTTATGTGAAAAGATACACGAGCCAATCCCTATCCTGAAGCCATACTGCAAACAACCTAAATGCCCATCTCTAGGTGCTGGATACATAAATCCTGGGGCATGCTTCCACTGGAAGACAGAGAGCTATCAACAAGAAGGAGCAACTCTGATTTTCTGATAGGGAAAAATCTCTAAAATTCAAGTAAAGTGATTCAACTTAAGTAAAATCTCCTAGCTAAGTACAAATACTTAGTGTGGTACTGTTTGTGTACAATAAAAATAAGATGAGTGTATGCAACTGATTCTACATTTATTGCATGTTTTGGGAGGAATACATAAATTGATAGCAATGCCTTCTTGTGGGTGGTGGTGAAAAATGTGACTGAGGGACAGACTGGTTTTCCTTGCATACCCTTTCTTAACCTTCTGAATTTGTAGATATACTTACACTGTCTATTACACTATCAATCTAAAGAATAACCAAGGGGCCGGGCGCAGTAGCTCACGCCTATAATCCCAACACTTTGGGAGGCTGAGGTGGGCAGATCACCAGAGAACAGGAATTCGAGACCAGACTGACCAACATGGCAAAACCCCATATCTACTAAAAATACAAAAATTACCCGGGCGTGGTGGCAGGCACCTGTAATCTCAGCTACTCAGGAGGCTGAGGCAGGAGAATCGCTTAAACCCAGGAGGCAGAGGTTGCAGTGAGCCAAGATCGCGCCATTACACCCCAGCTTGGGAGACAAGAGCGAGACTCCGACTCAAAAAATAAAAATAAAAAAATAACCGAGTTGAAATTAATTGATGACCTCCTTTTCTCACCACTTTCCTGTTTCTGTGGCCTTCGGAAAGTGACTTGGATTTGCCAAGCTGGCTTTTGTTCTACCTCTAAAATCTCCAAAGAGTGATGGCCCCAGCATCTCCTGCAAAAATCAAAATAAGGTCAGTGAAGTCATTGCTGTTGGAAGTTTATGATTGTTTGTCATTATTTCTTTACAGAGCAGAGTTTGGCATTTGGTAAAGGAACTGACCAACAGTTTTGGATTTTTTGACATTTTTAGGGTAGATCCCTAAGCAATTTGATTTCCAGAAGAAGAATGTGTGCTCTGGATTTTCTCTCTGACTTCCTCGGTTTGCAATCCGTGCCCACACCTGAAATGTTTTCTTAATGAAACACATGAAAGAGGCAATTCTTTGGTAAATATCTGGAGGCCACCTGCTGTGTGCCAGGCAGTGTACTTGGCCCTGGATTGTTGTGCACTTGCTCAGCATTCGTCCCACCCATCCTCCCTGAGGTCTTACTTCTCCTGCATGTAGTGAAAATTCGTGCCCTCAAGGATCGATTTCCCAAATGTTTTCCTTGCTTGCTTCATAGCGACAGCAAACCAAACAGCCCCCAAACGAGACAGAGCTCTCCTCCTACTCCTGACCCTCTGTCAACACAGATGGAGCCAGGCCCCTCCCTACAGGCCTGTGTAAGCCGTCTGTCCATCTGTCCATCGTGTGTGGGAGTGAGCAGCCCTGCCCTGGCAGGTCAGAGTCACAGCCGATGATGTGACTGCTCACACAGCCATTTCTGGAAACATTCGTGAATCCCCAAGCCCCACTGCCCCCTGGCAGGGGTCACAGCCTGGCCTGCCTTTCTCTGTAATCTTTGGTGCTCCCAGTGCTGACTCTCATGGCTGGCTGGGGAGGCTGGGGAAGCCTGACCCTAACCCCATGACTTTGGTCTTGCTGTTCTTAGCGCCTGAACTTCCATCACCCTATTATGCTCATCAAGTCCATGGTCTCTTCCATCCATTCCGGAAACTCTTTCTTGCAGGAATCTATCCTGATATCCCCCACCTCCTACAGCTGCCCCATCAGAATGAATTGCTCTTCCTTTCAGCTTCTCCATCTCAAGCTCCCAAGCTTCTGTCTGCATTCTTTTCCTCACCCAACAGTGACCGCAGTGGCGTGGAGGAGAGGTACTCTTCCAATGTGGGGCAGGTACTGAGCTAGGTGTGGGGGAAAGGGGTGATGGAATGCCCTACACTGAGCCACAGTCTTGCCCTCATTTAGCAGGATGATGGTCTGTCAAGGGCGGGCTACTTACAACCTACCTAGGATAAGTGAGGTGGGAAGAGACAGTAGATCTATTTGTGTCTGGGTATGTCTCCATAAGCTGCTGGCCATGGCTGGTCTTGGAGGGTAAGTGGCCTTCCCCCAAGCAGCAAAGGAATGGGGTGTTCAATGTGGGAGAATAGACATGATGGTGGGGTGATGGCAGACAGGTGGGAAGAGTGCAGTGTGTTCAGGGAAGAGCCAGTAGTTCTACCTGCTGGGAGCTGGAATAACAGGCAGGGAGTGGCAGGGGAGCAGGCACAAAGAGGCCTGGAGGCTGTGCAAAGGGGTTTAGACTCCTCGTTAAGGCAGCAGGCCACCACCACAAGGGTATAAGCAAGCTAAGAGAGTGGACATCCTTAGAAAGGAAGTTCTGAGTCAGGCACAGTGGCTCCTGCCTGTAATTCCAACACTGAGAGGCTGACATGGGAGAATTGTTTGAGGCCAGGGATTTGAGACCAGCCTGAGTAACAAAGCATGACCCTGTCTCTGTGAAAATAAAAATAATTAGCCGGGCATGGTGGTGCATGACTGTAGTCCCAGCTACTCAGGAGGCTGAGGTGAGAGGATCACGTGAGCCCAGGAGTTTGAGGCTACAGTAAGCCATGATCACACCACTGCACTCCAGCCTCGGTGGCAGAGTGAGACCCTGACTCAAGAGAAAAAAAAGAGAGAGAGGAGAGAAGGAAAGGAAGAAGGAATTGAAGAAAAGAAGGAAGGAGAGAGAGAGAGGAAGGAAGGAAGGAAGGAAGGAAGGAAGGAAGGAAGGAAGGAAGGAAGGAAGGAAGGAAGGAAGGAAGGTAGGTTGGTTCTGGAAGATCACCAGGGAGGGAACCGGCACCTGGGGACCCCTCATTTCTGCACCCCTTCCGAGCATGAGCCACACACCCAGACAGAAGCTGAGGATTGGCCATGAAGAAGGCAGAGACCCACCCTCAAAGATGTAGAGGGGGAAAAATAGTAAACAAATACTTTAACAAATGCACTGCAGCTTGTGATTAATGCATGAAAGAAAGAAAAGAGCATCAGGAAGGGGACTATGGAATGATGCTTCAGATGGGATGGCCCACATAGTGACCAAAACTGGTGAGAGGAAGAGTTAGAGACAGATAAGAAAAGCCAGAGAGCTATATATGAGGTCCAAGCCTTGGCTAAAGGCCCCTCGGACTCCCTGGAGCCACCTGCACAACCGTGTGCTTCTTTGGGAGTCATCAACGACTCTAAGGGGCCTTTGACCACCCAAAGGATGAGGACCATTCTGGGCTCAGTTATATCTTCATGGCACTACTCCTTCCTCCTATGACCCCTTCTCCATCCCTGGGGACCCACCATAAATGTCCTCGCCTCTGCACAGCCTGATTTCAGTGGCCCCCTGTGCATTCCTGATGCTTAATGTCACATTGGGTTATACTCATGCTGAAGAGCTAAAATAAATGCTTATCTACGTGTGTGTGTGTGTGTGTGTGTGTGTGTGTATGTGTGTGTGTGTGTCTGTGTGTGTGTCTCACCTGGTTTAGTGAACAGGGGACAAGCACATAGATGTCCCTCGGTC